TCTATCTATCTATCTGTCAATCTGTCCGCCTGTCTGTCGTCTCCTGCCTCTCCGTCTATCTGTACGTCCGTCTGCCCATCTACCTATCCATCTCTGAATCTCTAATCTCTATCTCCATCTCTATCTCTGCCTCTACCTCTAGCTCGAGCTCTAGCTCCGTATCTATCCCTAGCTCTGCTCTGCTCTGTCCGGATAGATAGCTATCCAGCTATCTAGCTGTCTAGCTGTACCATAGCTGATGCACAATCCGACAAAATGGGAGCTTCGGAAAGAAGTTCGTTATAAGCATGGAACTTGTAAATACGACTTAAGTAACATTCATTAACCCTCAACCCCAAACCCTAAGCCCATGAACCCAAACCTAAACCCTAAAGCCCGACTCCTGAAGCCCCAAACCCGCCTCGCCCGCGATGGGGCCGAACGCCCCAAGTGCCTCTGCGCACCGGCAGCGGACCTCGGCCAGGTGCACTGTCGTTCCATGTATATGATTGCAGGGTTCTTTTAGAGCTGACAGGTTTCAAAACGGGCCTTCATGATTACAGGCGCTTTCCGCGGGGCTGTATCATAGGTGCATAGACTGCTCTTCGGGCTGAGGGCTGCAAGGGTTTCGGGATTGAAAAGTCTGGGCTTTGTAACTTGTAAGGTTTTGCCAGGTGCATATGAGGGCCGTATAGTTCAGGATCTCCCTTCATGAAGGAATCCTCCAGCTTCTGATCCCTGGACCTATTGGGTCTCTGTCGAGTTTAGAGACATTGTGGGCGTTCAGAGATTTGAGGCCGGAGGATTCAGGGATGGTGGCTTTGTGAGTTTCATGGTTTAGAGTTTCAGGGTCCTGTGGGGTGTGGTGCGTACTTTTTGGGTCTCGACGGAGCTTTGTCAACGTCTTTCACGCTCAACGAACTGGAAACACCGTAAAGGAAACCCCAGGCCAGAAAAACGTCGAGGGCCTAGCCCGGCTCGCCATGAGTCCTCAACTGTAGAAAGAGAGCCTCTCAACCCTAACCCCGAAGCCCTCATACCCAAAAACTCGCATTGCAGGATCACCCCCAATCCGAAAACCTTTCAAAACCCATCCACGCCCCAAAATCCCGAAACTAAACACATTGAGCTCTAAGTCGACCACGGAATCCTTGGCTCCAAAGATTTCACCACAGCCAGCCCATAAGTATTAGAAGCCCTTAGTCTCCAGACCTGGACTCCAAAACCTGAAACAAGAAGAGAAGTCCAAACCTAGATGCGCAAAATGACTCTATGACAACCTCGAAGAAAGACCTTAAACCTCTAAAGAATCCTTCATTCAAGACCCAAAAAAAGACCCTCAAGAGACGTCCGAGATGCAGGTAAGTCCTTGTCCACCTTCAGACCCCGTGCGATCGCTGCAGCACCGTGAGTCCCTCGGCCAAGTGATTGGTGCTCAAAGGTGAGCTTTAGAAGAGAGCTAGAGCTGGGGGATTTACAGTGTGTTTCGTGACCGGGCCTCAATAATCAAAGTATTCTAGTTTAATTGCATGTCGGAGTAGAGGGTTTTACCTTTACGAACGTAACTAGTCACACCTCTATAACCAGGGTTCGGGGTTTCGGATGTAGGGTATAGGGTGTGGGATTTTCAGAGGGAGGAACGTCAGCTAGAAGGACACAGCCGGGTTTAGGGAGTCGGGATTTAGCTGATATAGGGCCTCAAGAGCTCGAAGGATCGGGAGACTTAGCAGGTAGGTTGTGCCTGCGGGTTCGAAGTACCCTGGACCCTATAGCCCTGTCATTGAGTCGACAACCGCAAAATAGGCGCCTCACTTATTCGAATACTGCTTTAGGGGGGACACGATACTGGATCCGGGTAATATGATAGGATAAGGTTATAGTCGTTCAAATCCCTGCATTTCTGGTGAAATGCTCAAAAGTCCCGTGCGTCAGGCGGCCGAAACAATCTTTGGCAATCGGGCTTGGGGGCTTCAGAGACTCAGGGTGCATGGCTTCGGGCCAGGGGTTTTGCCTTAGGCATTAAGGGGTTCAGGGTCTGTAGGAGAGCTTTGGGTGAAGGGCTTATGCTCGGGTGATGTCTCTCTGCTAAACGCGGGAACCATGGGCATTTAAGGCCTGGAGTGGGGGGACCGGACTGGCGGCTCTCAGGTCAAGATTTTCAGATTCCGGTCTGCGTGGACTTTGAGGGACTGTCGTGGCTTGCCTCTGCCGTTCCAGCTGGCGGGTTGGGGTTTGGGATCAAGCGAGGCTTTCGGAGTTTATGTACAAAAGTTGTACAACCCACACTCCAGAATCACAAACCCTACAGCGCCCGAACACTTGCTGCGAGAGTCCTGAGTCTAAATCCGAAACGCCTAACCCCCCAACCCCGCAAACCCTGAAGCCCTAAACTTAAATCCCAAACCCTAACCCCCTAGACTGCTAAATCGCAAACCCCCGTAGCACCCAACCCGAAGCCCTAGGATGGGGTTCTGGGTTAGATACAACCATACCGAGACTGTAAGGGGATACACCATTCGGAGCTCTATGACTCTATGTTACATGTTAGAAAGTTGCGAGCCCTGATAGACAAAATCTCCGACGACCCTCCGGACCTTATAAAACGAATAAAACTCCTACAAAACGCTTTTGAACTCCTGCGAAAGCACTTGTAGTATTCTACGCTGAGCCCAATGACAATACTCAAGGGGCCTCAATAATTCGAACAGGTCTTCGGGGTATATTACACATGTAATCTATTTACTTGTAGCACCTACTTGTTCCCACCCTATCATCGCAAGGAGCTCTGTAACGGGTAACATTGGTGACTAGTTCTTCCGACCTCTATTCGTATACCGGCCCTTAGAACCATTAAAAAAAACAATAGTCGTATTAATCCCCTCAAGTTCTATACCCCAAACCCTAAACCCTAAAGCCTCGATCAATCTTCCTAAACCCTAAACCCTAAGCCAAACTCCCTAAACTCTAAACCCGACACCCTGGAGTGGAGTTGTTTTATAGAGCAGCAGCGTATTCCTACACCAGGCCTGCCACGACGCCGCCTAATTGGCCAAGAGCCATGGCACAGCGCCTGAAACCGCCGGCTGAGGGCGAAGTTTGGGGTTTGGGGTTTAGGGTTCATGCAGGGTTTGGGGTTTAGGGATTGGGGTTTAGGGTTCATGCAGGGTTTGGGGTTTAGGGATTGGGGTTTGGGGTTTTGGGTTTTAGGGATTGGGGTTTAGGGTTTGGGGTTTGGGGTTTCGGGTTTAGGGTTTTGGGTTTTAGGGATTGGGGTTTAGGGTTTGGGGTTTGGGGTTTAGGGGTTTAGGGTTTTGGGGTTTAGGGATTGGGGTTTAGGGTTAGGGATTGGGGTTTAGGGTTTAGGGTTTGGGGTTAGGGAGTTTGGTTTAGGGTATCGGACTCGGGGTTTACGCTCCAGGGTTTGGGGTTTCAGTTTTGAGGTTCGGGTTTCCCTGCCCTTCACGGTTGAGTGTTGAGAACTACAAAACTCCAAACCTGAGTTGGCCCGGAATCCCACCAGCCCCAAGCGCTGGAACCCAAGCAACGCAAGAACTTCCTGACAAGTTGAGGCCCGAGCCCTGGTTCGCTTTTGGAGGTTGAGGCCGTGGGTTTGTAGGAGTTCTCCAACTTAAGCTGCGGTTGCTGGAGTAGCATTTCGGCCTGGGGCTTGCGATGCAGGGCTTCTTTTCTTGGGCTGAACCCCAAACCCTAGACTCCAACCGCCTAAACCCGAGAGTGTCGATGTTCTGGCCTGCGCACACGAACGTCGCGATCGTCCTGCAGCAGCTGACGTCCCGAAAGAAGCACTACGGTCCAGCAGTTGAAGCGTTGAGTGTTTGGGCGTTTGGGTGCTTTGCTAATTAATAAACATCAGTCTATGCTGCCCTGTCAGAATGCCTCGCATCGGTGCGGAGCTCGCGACGACACAACATACTGCTGAAACATGCCATGACATTGCATTGTCTGTGACGACTAGTGATAGAATGTTGCATACCGCATCATCTCTCGTTGTACCTCGAGAAAAGTGGCACGCCTCTTTGAGAGGGCTTGGTTTATCTTCCAGCATGACCCCCCAAAGCCTAACCAACACCCCAAAATACCAAGACCAGAAACCTTGAAGCCCAAACTTCTGAAATGCCCTGAAGCCCAGACACTGAACCTTCAAGCCCCAGTCGTAACCGAGCTGGCCAAACCCGCACTCCTAAACTCCTAAACCCTGAACTCCTAACTGACCTAACTCCGACGGCCCCAAACCCACATCCGAAACACGAAAATTGCCGAAGACGTAGGGTTTGAGCCTTGTGAGTTCAATCCCGATCTGGTTCCACGCGGCATATTACTAAAGACTTTCATCCCAAGCAGCCAAAGGCCACAGACTTCCCCTTGAACCATTTCGACCTGTGCCGGTTTCCGAAAAGGGAAGCAGCAAAGCTTGAATTATTGCCGACACCTCAATGCAGGAGCCAAAACTCCTGACAACAAACCCGTAGATATGCCTAAACCCCTTAACCCCAGGCCCTGGACCATGAATCCTACAGCGCAGTCCCACCTGCCCGAAACTCCATCATGATCCCTGCCTGAGACGAACTCTGAAACAAGATTGCTCCAAATCCCGAAGCCACCAAAGCCTGAAATCACGACCCTGCAGGCCCTACCCTTGACCCCAGATCATGGAACCGGGATTAAGCCGTAAATCCTGAGTCATGGCACCTGCACTTGCCCCCAAAATCGCATGTACCCCATACTCCCAAACCCTAGAAACTCCAAAGCTCGGCCTGAAGCGCACGGGCGAGCGCCACAGCGCCGGAGCCACGCGCGCAGCGGCCGAGTCGACCGAGAGACTCTGCCTCTGCGGTTCTTCGGGCCGTACGGTGTCAGGCTACCTTACCATGGGGATGTTGGAGTCCTTTGCAGAATTGAAAAGGAAGGCTTCTCAAACACCTCCACCGGAATGATCAAGGGACTTAGTAAGTAGGCTACAAGTTATGATACAGGAATCAGCAAGACAACCGGCAAAAGCCAAGTAGGACACCATTTTCAATGGGGTTCACTGAAATTGAAAATCTATTGGCAGTCTCTTGCTTCAAAGCTTCAGAACCTCTCTGCAAGACTGTATGACTGAAGTAGCTGGGTTTATACACATACCACATCCTCCCACTTGCCCTCGGAGATCTCATGGACACTGCGTGGGGGGGCTGTTGGATCTCCTGGTGGAGTCTACTGCGACCACGGTGCATGAGGAGGGTCTTATAGCCCCAATTATTTGATGCACGAAAGGCGGCAACCTTGCAAAAAAGTCCCCGATGCTCCAGGCAGTGCCGGGCCCTGGAAACCCCTAACCCAGATCCTGCCCTAAACCCTAAGCCTAAGACTCTAAATTCCAAACCCAAACATCCCACACCCCAAAAGCCTACACACTAAAGTCCAAACCCTTTTGAACTCGAAGCCTCCGAAACCATAAACCGAAGCCCTAAACCTTAAATCAAGCCCCGACCCGAAGCCCTAAGCCTCAGTCTCGAAACCGTCAGCCCCCTAAACCCCGGTGGAACCCCAAGTGGGAAGAAAGCTGTGGCCGCGGCGAGGCCAGTTCTCACCTTTGCCAGTGCCGGGGAGGTCGAGGCAGGCAGAAGCATGCGAACAGCAATAGTCTGTCTTACTTCTTCAAACAAGCGGACCCTAGAATCCTGAGTTTTTTTCAGATCGACCAAATATTTTCAGTCCCAAAACAAGTTTAAAGTTCGCCTTTTGGCCAGATCCGTGCTTATTCGCAAGTTCTGGGCGAAAGCGTTGGGGGGCTTCATGGTCTAAGGCTTCGGTCAGATTTCGGACACTGCGAGGCGGTGCAGAAGTGAGGGACTATCTCGAGGTCCGGATCGACAGTGTTCGTAATTATATGCCTTTGGGGGCGAAGTAGGGGTTGTGGAAGAGTTGGGCCCTCTTGCTGTATTCCTCTCATTGCCCGACATATTTCTTGGGAGAGCACCGATGGAATGGCAAATTTTGACATAGTCTTGTCACTGGGCTTTTTTAATCTGGATATCCTCGGCTGTCTTCACTAAAAGATGAAGCATGGCCCTCTGTACAACAGCCCTGCAAAGCTAGCCTCACCTGCTACATAGCAAGGGTTTTGTCTTGACCCGACAACTGAAGTGTTCACAAGCAGCTCAAATAAACCCTGAACTTTGAACTTTGCACCGTAGCGTTGATTTTTCGTCGAATGTCTGGAGCATAAGGAGCTCGCGACTCCAAGGGAGGGGGGAAGGCGGCAGGGGTTGTCCCGTCTTGACAGTGCTTGACAGGCTTTGATTTGCAAGTCGAACAGGCTGGGAAAGGACCACGAAGCTTCGCAAAGGCCTCTCTGCAGCACCCGGGCTGACAATCTACAACTTGAAGTCTTGAACTTTTACAGAAACTGCCAGAAACTTTGAAGATCATCTGCCGGATGCCCTAACTACGAAATGCATATAGGGAATACTTGCACCACGTGCTGGGGTATAGGGAATCCTATACTGGTACCTATCATCCCAAGGTAAGTGCTTGAAGAAACCCAACACTCGTCATTTTCGCCGGAACCAACGTCTCTTACTCCAGAAGGGCCCCCGGCGAAGGCGTCTGACGCCACCTGCCCGGGCTTCCGCTGCAGGAGCGCCTGAGAATTCGAGGCTGTTCCTGAAGGCCCTTTACGTATTATATATATATATACATACATATACATATACATATATATATATATATATATTTTTTGGTTTTGAAGATCAGCCCACACTGAAACCACGGATTCTCTGCAATAGCGGACTCAAACAATCCCAAGACGCTTAAAGCGCGGCCCCCAAACCAAGCACGGCTCTCGGACTGTAGGCGTGCCTTCTTGGGCTTCGACATAACAATAAGGAATATGACAGAGTTTTAGTACGTAGCTTAGGCTACTTAAAGCAATGCTGGATTCCCAAACCTTGGACGAACGTTTCTCCCGAAAAGCTGACATTGTCAGCCCGAAAAGTCTCAACACCCCTAAACCTTCACGACCACTAACTAACTGGGACCCTCAAATCCTCATATGAAAGTACGTGATGCCAAGGTGCTCAAGCCGCCTTAACTTTATCCCACCTCTGCAGCCCTTCAGAACCTGCACTCTGCAGCATGAACCCTTCTCCCAAACCCGAAACAATTCTACCAATCAGCTTATCAAAAAACTCTGGCCTTGGCCAGCTCCAGAGCGGCGGCGTTGCCAGCTTCCTTGAAGGTCTCTGGAGTCAACATACTTGTTTCTATAGGACGGTGCTGCATGCATGTAATGTGATGCAGGGCAACACAAGGTACTGCAATGCAGTGTCATATGTAGTGTGATACAACGCACGCAATGTAAATTGTATACATCTGCATATGTCTGCATACATATATATATATATACAGACATACATGTGTGAATATGTACATACATGGCATAAACAAATACGTACGCACACACATGTAATTACTCCACATACATACGTATATACATACATATAGATATACATGCATACATACAGACATGCATGCCATCATACATTCCAATCCATTCCACTCCGTTGTGCTTCATTGCGTTGCATTGCATTGCCTTGCACACACTACGGTGCACTAGGCTATCTTACATTGCAATATCACATTGCCTGAGGCTCCCCCTACATTGCCTTGCATTCCACAACATTGCATTGCACTCTGCCACACTGCGTGATGCAACCATAATGCCCCTTTTCCCGCGCCTGGCCCAGGCCGGCCACCGCCTCGGCCGCACCCCAGCGGATGCCAGGGTCGAGGTCGATCCTGGCTGTGGGATTTATGGGCTGCGGTTCGCAGTCCAGGCTTTGGAGTTGTGGAGTCTGGGGCCTAGGGTCTACATTTTCGGGGGGTCTGAGTCAAATTAAATGGGGCCGTTATACTATAACCCCTAATCGAGAGAAGGGGGGTTCCGTGTGTACGGAATTTTACTAGCTTTGCTGTGCGGCCCTAGCATTTAAAGAAAGGCTAGGGCTTACAGAGAGGAGATAAAGCAAAACTGCGGGGTTTAGTCGGTTTAGGCACCCGCCAGACGGACCGGACTCCTAGCTTGGGGTTGTCTCACTTGCCTTGAAGTGCTTGGTTTGGCTTCAGGGCTGGAACATAAGTTTGGAGCTTGGGGAAGTCGTGCCGTGTGCCTCTCTCTAGCTGGGTTTGGGGCTTGGGATATGGGTCTAGAGCGTTCTGGGCTGGCAAAGGACTTCAAAGTTTTGGAAATACACTCTTTGCATCGAGGGGTTGTGGGATCCAAGATAACTCCGGGCAGTGAGCCCAAAGACCAAGAGCTGAGATCCAAAATATCCCAAAATCGAATCCCTGTACCCTGAGACCTCACTGAACTCGGACGCGCCTGGCCACGGCCTCAGAAAGCACCCCGGCCGCCTGCATTTCGTCCCAAGTAGGCTTTCAAAGGTGCACGGGGTCGAAAAGAGTTACAGCTTGGAGCTTGTTGTCTTTGAACGTGCGGGATGGGTAGGTTAGGGTGATTTGGATTCATGGCTTTAGACTGGCATGGAACACAAGAATGGGGTCGGGAGCGCTGGATTGTCAACGGCCGGACTTTCTGGCTCAAGGGCTTTGGATCCCAAAGTTTGCCTTGGGGTGCAGCCTATGACAAACACTGCTTTCGGACATACGCTGAAATTCAGGGTGCCTCACGGTTACCAAGAACCGAAGTGCCGTGAAGAAGGGCCCAGGGCAACACTGTCAACATCGGCCTGAGGAGCCAGGTTCTCGCAGGAGCCGAGCCTCGGAGCTTTGGGTCTCCGGGTTCGGGGCACGGGCAATAGGGTTTCGGGATTCGAGGTGTGGGCATTTATGGTGTAGGGGAAGCTTCGGCGTGTGAGGGTTAAGGCGGTTAAGGCTTACAGGCGAACGCCAATAAGAGCTATGTAACGCAAAGCTGATGTGGTGCATAGTGACAGAAGTGACATAGCTATACTCTCCGATGTACACAGACAAAACCCAATCCTTAAAATATCGCTGCAGAATCTTGCGTAAGTCACAGTAGCAGGAGTCAACAACCATGCCTTACTTAGCAAGGCAAATCTCAGCAAGCTTGCATTCTCTGGCCGGGGGGAAAACAAACGACCCTCAGCACGAGGAACCTCAGAAAGATTCGGGCTTTGTGCTTCGGGATGAAGATGCAGTTGCAACACATTTCGGGTTCAGAATATTTTAGATCACACATTCACCCCATACCCAAGTCCCCGGTGAAGGATTCAGAGGGCCATAGCTCGAGGCTTCAGTCAGTCTCTCGCAAGCTTCTTTTGTCGCTCAGCCCAACGACATCCTTCGCACTTCCCCGTGCTCAGGGCTGAGGGTGACGTCTTGTGGCTTAGAGATTCGGGGCTTATGGTGTCCAGGGCGTTCGAGGGTTTGGGGTTCACAAGGGCTCGTGAGCGAGCTTGCAACAGGCTACAGTTCAAAATAGAGCCCGGAAAGCTTGGGGCAGCTTCGTCCTCCTCCTTCTGGGAGGCTCTTTGTTTGGGGCCTAGAGTTTTGGGAGTAATCGGATTCCCAGGGAATCGTCAGAGCCTGGTGATGGCACTTGCCTGTGAGGTTCAAGACGTCGGGCTCAGGGTTTGCGAGATTTACGCAAAATAGTATAAGTATGCCAACGACCCTCCCGAGCCCAAAAACCAAAATACCTGACTGCAGGCTTTAAGTTCAAACCCCAGACTGCCCCTACCCCGCGGTCCTTCAACCTACTGTGGCACTTGCAAGAGCCCAGAGTTTTCAGGTTCAGGGTTCTCCGTAAAGCGTTTACGGCCTTGAGGCTTGCAGGTTTAAGGATTTCGGGTTTCAGGGTAGGTTGCAGAGATCAAGTGCCACTACACAGGCTCGGCATACACCGCGTCTGGACAGATGCTTCGGACGAGCATGGGGGTTTGTAGCAGAACTGAGCTTGAGCTTGCAAGCCAAATCTGCTGTGTGGGTTTAGGGTTTAAGGCTGCTTAGGTTCTTTCATCGCACCTCGAGGGGGTGGGAACGACTGCCCCGGGGTACCTGCTGTCAAACTGCCATGCCAGTGCATCTGCCGAAGCAGCGTGGAGTGCTGCACGCTTGCTGCCATCAGCACTCTTTGGTGTAAAACTGGACACCGATCTTCTTGCATTCTCATCCTCAACGCTTTCACACGCCATGCAAAAACATTCGAACCCTTTAGTTGTGGTGGCACCTTGATTCTGATGGCAGCTCGCAACAACATCGCGGCTGACGATGTCTACCATGAGAGCAAATCATCTTCGGCTTCGGACCCAAAGCCCGGATCACAAGACGATGTAGAAGCTGAGTATCGACTGCTACTGAAGCCTTAGGGTTCCAAGATCCTGGAATGAAGTACACCTTGTTTGTTACGGCTCGAACTCCTCCGGCCTTGAGTCCCTATACCACGTGACTGGAGACATGTTACTACTACCTGAAAAAACTACCCAGACCCTTGCGGCTTAGAGTTTCGACCTCCACCTACGAATGCAGAGCTTCGGCCCCTGGTTTCTGAGCACCACGCTATGCGACTTAGACTTTCGGCGTTGACCTATGGGGCCGATCTAGGCGATTTGGGGTTTCGGCGTCCGCCGTGTAACTTGGATGTCTCTATGTTGTCATGTGTTGGTAATCTGGTTGTTGGCTTTCTTAGGTAGCTTTAGGAGACTCCTGGCAGGCCCATTGGCACGCCTGCCTTCCAAGAGCATCCCCAAAATGGCAGGCACCCAGAAAGACAAAAAAAATACACAAGTTGTTTGGGGACTGACAAACGAACGACACAAAAAACAAAGCCAAAAACTACACAAACACAACAACACAATGTCACACACAGGACAAAATATGGCATGAAACATGGAAAAGCAATGGCGACAACAATTACAATGCTTCTCGTCCCCGTCCACGACTGGCAACGACGACGGTGTGCCCCGACAGGTACTCAGGCGTTTGCAGAGTTGGCTGTTCTGGGACGCTCGTGCAGGGCCCGCCGCAAAGGCAACCAAATCCAGAATGGCGAACAAGTCTGACAAGACCAAAGACAACAAAACCATATAGACAAGTGACAAAAACACAACAACTGAATCACAAAAGCTCCTGACAATCACCCCAAGCTTTCCTGCAGAAATGCTCCCCGCCCGGACTCCTTGCCTGATAGCCTTTATTAGACGAGTTGTTTGGTGAACAGTTTTGTGTATGTTATAGTACAGGCTCAGTACGGACTGTCCATTCATGCGTGTAGAGAGCTCTGTAGCAATCTCGTGTTTCAGGAAGTAGTGTCTATCCGTCGGTTGACGCTTTGAGTGATCCTGCTCCGAGTCCGTGCCAGGGGTGACACGCATCCCTTTCCACAGGGGCCAGGCGAAGGCTCCTGGCTCGGAGATCGGGCCTCAGCTGAATTCCGCGGGCATCACCTCGATGGCACAGGAGCTGGAGCTCTGGGGTATTGTTGGAAGCCCTCCGTCTTTCTGACTTTATTCGCTCCCATATGCAGGAATTCAGCTGGTTGAAGGACAGCCCTTTCCCAAGGCACTTTCGGGCTACAACATGCCTGAAGTCTGGCAGTGACTAACTTAGGCCCGCGGGCCCCGGGCAGCAGAGCCAAGGGCTAAGTACTAGTATTCTACCTATTGCTTCGTGCCCTACTGCAGAGAACCCGTAGAAAGTTGGAGAACGAAAGCCCTTTCGTCCAAAAGCACCGGAAACCGACCTCATACTTCTAAACCCTGATCCGAAGCCCTGTAACCCCACGGTGATCTTGTCGGGCCCGTTCTTAGGGCACTTTTCTCGAAGTCGTTCCTAAGAAATCCGAGTATAGGCTTCTGCCACAACATTGTAATGCACTAACTTGTTGGGTTTAGGGTGGCGGGGTTGGGGTTGCAATTGGAGTTTCGGGATGGGTGTGCTCAAGCTGCAGCTCAAGGCTTCGGAGTTAGTCTTTGGGTTTGTGGTCGGGCGTATGGGTCAAGGGTGCGCGTTTCTTGACGTTGAAAGCTTTAAGGGCTGATGGCGTTTAATTCGGTCTTGTCAAAGGGGTTTGGGCTTGTAAGTTTTACCAGACTTGAAGCTTTTCTGGATTGAGAGGTTCGGGTCGGTTAGGGTTGCTGGAGTTGCAGATTGCGTAGACTTTCCCCGATCTGCTTGAAGGGCCTTCATCTTCGGATCCTACTATTGTCCTGACTACATGCGGGTCTCTGAATCAAGGCTCTTAGGCTGGGAGGATATATAGTCTGAAGTAACATCTACACGTTGTACTGGGAGTGCTTCAAGCCTCAAGGGACTGAGTGAGTCAGCTTCAGGTGGGGGTTTTGCATACTGCAATTGAGGGAGCATGGTACTTGCACCCGTTTTTAAGCTGCTTGCAAAGTTCGGTGCAAGTTCAAGTATACTCGGAGGGGAGGTAGCTAAGCCAGTCAAGAAGAAGACTATCTAAACCTGTAATCCTTCTCCAAACTGAATGCTGCATAAACATCATAAAGCGCCCCTAAGCCTAAGCTAAACCCAAACCCAAAGTAGCCCAAAGTTGCGATAAGAAACCACTGAATCCAGGACAGGAGACCTGGCCGCAGTCCTCGTCCGTGTCGACGCCGTAGCGTTCGAAGAGTTGCTGCAGCTTTGCTCCGATGCCCTCTCCTGGGCTTTTCTCTTGGGACCGGATTGCGTTTTTGGAGTTTAGGGATGCCAAGGGTTCCGGGTTTTTCTGAGTTTTCGCGAGGGGGTGGGATTGAGGGTTGTCTCTCCTGGATATTGTGGTTTTCCGTCAACTGCTTTACGAGGTTTTATCTTTGCAGGTGTTGAAGGATTTGTGCTTGTGGCTCTTTGCCTTGTATGGTTTTGACTTTGGTTTGCGGCTTCTTGTGTTCGATTTTGTCCAGCAGACTCTTGTTAGTTTCGGTGCCCTGTTGTCGGCCTAACCCCCGAATCATCAGCACCACATGTATTTATCACCACGTCATCTTCACACTCACTACTGGCTTTCGACGGCCACCAACACCACCAGCACCATCACCGCCACTAGCGCCGGCGCCGCTACCACCAACACCGCCGCCGCCAGAAACAGCACCGGCACCAGCACCAGCACCACCAACCACCACCACCCCGGCCCACTGCCCCCCCTTGGGCTAGGATGGGAAGCAGCGTGCGACCTGCCGCGAACAGCGGTCGGCGCCGGCCTTTTGCGAGTGGGTCTCGCAACCGAAGCAGTGTAGAACATGCCCAAGGTCATCACTTATCATGTTCTTGTCACCCTAGCCCGGTGTTTCTGATGCACCCAAGATTCCCAATGTTTTCAGGGCGTCTACACACAGGCGCTTCCGCTTGCGCCAGGCGCCGGCGACCTGGACCAGCGCTTGAGGGTCGTCACAATCTAGGCAAACCTCAAACCTAAACTCTAACCCAAGCTGCACAACCTAAAGCCTAAACTCTGGACCAAAGAGAAGTCTGTTGTTTGGAGCCAACTCGTCGTTTCGCGAGCCAATGCTTCAGGGCTTCTAGTCTCGGGTTTTCCAAGCAAGGCAAGGGGCTGCGGCTTTTCAGGTTCGGGGTTTGGTAGGGTTTAGGGTTTTGGGTTTAGGGTTTTGGGTTTAGGGTTTACGACTTGGGTCCAGATGTTTGGGCCTAGGATTGTTGTTCACCCAGCATTGCGCTCGCGCTCAGTGCCTCCGGATTGGGGCCTCGAACCGTCAAGATTGAATCTTAATCCGCAACACAACAAAAAGAAACCTCGCCGCAATCAGCACACCCTCGACCGATAAGAACTACGGCAATCTGGAGCTTGCTCTGATCAAAGATAAGCCGAACCACGGAATTGTATTGACCGGGTTAGAGTTCAGTTTAGGCTCCGAGGGTTTGCTTCAAGCACCGTTTAAGGATTCAAATGTTTCGACCTTATCCAACTTAGTATCTTCTGTGGGGGCTCGGGATACCGGACTCAAAACAAGCTTCACAAAGGCTATGGGTATGCAAAAACATGTTGATGAACCACACAAACCCCAGGATGTTCCATTGCAAGTCGACAAACCCCGAAGAGACGCTTCTGTCTTGAGTCGTGTACAAAATCATCAAAAACAAGAACAAGCACGTAGGGTTCACAACAAGGACATAACGCTACACCCTGAAACCCCAAACCCCGGACCCCTAAAACCTAAACCCTATGACGCAACCCCGCACACAATCCCGGACTCTAGTTGTCAAGGCGAACCTTCGCTCGTGATGTATTTGGAGTTTTGGTATAACGGTTTGGAGTTGGAGCTCTATGTGTTCGAGGTGTAGTGCTTGGGGCGTGGGGCTGCCTGTGGCTCTGGATTTGGGCTTATTGTGGTTGGGGTCAGGGCTTCGGAAAGCAGAGAGCGCCTTCTTCAGCGAATCTTCCACCGCGAGGACCTCGCCTGAAGTCACTTGGCGGATGCGCGTATCTTGCAGCAGCTAGGGTCCGGAGTCCAAGTGCAATCCTCAGGTCCACACACTAGACTCTAAATCAAAAGTCTCGAATTCCACCAAAAACTTAGCTCTAAGACAGAGTCGTGAGTCCTTTTCGAAAGCTCAGCTTCACACTGAACCGCACCCCAGACCAGAACAGCGAAGGATCAACTTTCATAATTAGCTTGCTTCTTGCAGGGCTCTGGGTTTCTTCTGATTCCGAACTGTTCACTGCACTTAATGAAAACCCAGGCAACCTAGATGCACAAACGAGTGAATGAAAGGAACCCGAACCACCAAGTGGAACAGTGCGAAATAGGTGGTACAAGCCAGGAAACCAGAGGTTGCAATCTGAAAAACACAAACCCACAGCGGCAAAATTCCAGATGCACTCCCAGCTGCGCTCGTCCACCCTCTCCTCGCCCGAGGCAGCGCGGAGCGACGAGGCCTCTAAGGAGCAAAGCAGATCCTCTTAAGATTCCCGAAGGGAACATTGTACTATACCTGGAAAATTACCTATAGTCTCCATTGTAATTCCTTTTTGGGGATACCTTATAAAATCCTTAATATCTAATCTAATTGGTTAAACTACAACGGAGACTATAGGTAAGCTCCCAACTCTACTAAACCCAAAAAGCGATGGCCTTAGCTTCGAGCTTGGCGACTTCCTCTGAGGCCGCCTTGGCCTTCGCTCCATGGGGCAGGCGGAGATGTCAGCGTTTAGGGTTTAAGGATTGGGTTTTAGGGTTGAGTTTGGGGTTTAGGGTTTAGGGTTTAGGGGTTTAGGGTTTAGGGGTTTAGGGTTTAGGGTTTAGGCTTTAGGGGTTGAGGGTTTGTGGGGGTTACGGCGGCCTCAAAGACTGGGGTGATGATTTAGGGTTCAGAGATAGAATTAAGCTCTATCGGCACCCGGAAAGGCCCAGAAATATGTGCGTCTCACAATTGAGGGTTTCTGGTTCTTACGTTTAAATGGTTTCTGCCCTCCCCTAGATTCAGGATCTAGATTAAATATTTTGGGCTTAGGGTTGAAGGTTCTGGCCTCTCTTGCAGCTGCATGCTTGCTCTCCAGCTGCGACAGCGACTTCCGCACCTCATCCTCAGCGTGTGAAGGTTTGGCTGACGTGACGGAAAGTCAATGCAAAACCCTGAACTGGAAGCCCTAAACCCTGCCCTAAGCGCTGAACTAGCAGGGTCTAGAGTTTTGGGTTCAAGTTCCTAGGGTCTCACGCTGAAGACAACCTGGCGCGAACTCCGAAGCCGAGGAAATCATCCGCAGAAGATGCTCAGGCCCAACACTTCTGGGCAAGCCTTAGCCTGAAGTTCCGAACCCCCCAACCACAAAGCCATTTTGAAACCTGCAAACGACCCTACATCATTCAGAACTGGAAATATCAGCCTTTGGGACGGCAAGTGACCAAAGACCTAGATGAATTATGCTGCTGGAACCCAGCTCCTAAACAGCACAAAACGAATACGCCTTTGCTCCGACCACATGAACAAGGACGACAACATGAACACTGCAAATGATGCCGATAATCCTGTCGGCACCACCGCCATCCTCATCGTTCAAAGGATGATGACATTTCAACCAGTATTGGCGTGCACGTGCTTTAGCATTCGCATGATTACTTGTCCCGAAAACTCCAACTGCTGATACTCGAAGTCCCATGACCCCAAACGCGAAGCGCCAGAACCTCCAAGCCCAAGACCCTTTTAGCGCCAAAGCCCCACACCCTAAGCCGTTACTCATGAACCAGCCATCAGCTCTGATTGCGACAAAAGCACCACCTGGCCCTGGATGTCCTTCCGCTGGGCCGACGCCTCAAATCGAAGGTTCGACACAAGGCTTGTCCACTTGGAAGCCAGACAAGGGCCTAAGATTGTTGGGCTTGGGGTCCCCAATGTTATCTGAAAAACCTATTTGCTAGGCTCATCTTGGCTTCAAGTGCTCCCCCTGGCGGTATTTGGTGTGAGGGTCTTCGGAGAATTCGCCAGCCGCAGCCTGCTGCGATGTCTGGAAGAAGTTGCAAGCATGCCGAAAACCCCAAACCCTACTCATGCGCAAGCCTCAAATTAAATGCCCGTCAACTTCCGTTCCTCCTCCGACGATTCCCCAACCCTCGAACCATGACGGCCCAACTCTTCCTCAAACTCTGGAAAAACATGCAGGGTTTGGGCTACATGTTCTGGACAGCTGGGTTTGGCGGTTGTGGTAGCGTTTCGTTTTCGTTTCGGGGGTGGGCCCCATCTGACCTGCTCTACGGCAGCCGCCAGCTCCTCATCACCGCCAGCCGTAGGAGCTGTCTGGGCAGCCAGGTAAACCTGGCCAAAAATCCATTCTCAGGGTACAGGGTGTAGGATACAGATTTTAGCCTTGAGGTGATGGAAACCCTAAACCCTAAACCCTAAACCCTAAACCGTTTTGAGGGTCTCCGACCTTGATCTTGCCGTACTCCTTGAGGACGAGCTTTCCCGCGACGCAGAGCGTGTCCATGATGGTCTCGGTACACATTGGGACTCCAAACTTAATGAGACCAGAGGCTGTTGGGGCGAGTTTGGGTCCGTATTTGGGGCCCACGATTTAGAGCTGAGGGTTTCGGCTGATCGTGGAGGTGCTGCATGCGGGGTTTCGGGGCCATTGTAGGAGCCTGAACAACTCGAACCAGGTTTTCAGAAGTGGAGCAACACTACAGTCGGACGAAGGGCTCCCAGCACAGAGCCAAACGATCAAAGAAGTACAGGTGGCAAGAAATGTTTTGCACTGGGTTCCATGGACAGGTCAGGTTCAGGGTTTCGCGGCTCAGGATTTCTGGGGTGTACTATTCATGCCGAAAAGGCTTAGCTTCTGATTTGGTTTGGGCACTCTCAATCCTGATGGTCCCACCCGAGAAATTCAGCGTTCGCCGCTTTACAAACACAAGAGATATGCACATTTAGCTCACCTGAAATCCGAAATCTAGAGCCCTGGGCCCTCAACCCCAAGACGCAAAACGACCAAGCCCTGAACCCTAAAGAAATTAAACCCTAAAGCCCGCAGGGAAAACCTCAGGCAGCTGATGAGCGGCCCAAGCAAGCCAAACCCTAAACCCCTCCTTCAACAGAAAAGCATTGCTAGGGGGTCTGCCTGCACAGTGGCCTTGGGCACGGCACCATGGAGGTTGTCGAAGACATTCCTCGGTGGCTCACTCCATGAGTCTTCTGATTCAGACTCGGACTCCATCATTCATTCAAGCATGTCCTGCAAGAATCAACCCCCAAACCCTCAGCCACACGGCAGCCCAGGTAAACTCAACATGAAAAGTCTGACGCTAAAGCCCGAACCTCAGGCCCTTTTCTGGTAAATCAGGCTTGGAACCCTCCCTTTTGAACCGTAAACTCGTAAGCTCTCAAACTGTTGGTTGGTACTCCCCAACCTAAGCAGCCAAGAACACCCACAAATCGCAAAACGCGAAACCGAAAATCCTAAACCCCTTGACCCTGAAACCCGAAACCCTTTGAGCCTGGCGAAGACCTGAACCCTCCCTGAACACTCAAAGGGCGAGAGTCTGTGAGTTGTAAGGCCGGTTCTGCTGCCTGGCGCAAGGCTATGCTGGTTGGGGAAGCTTCGGTTGAGCTGTAGGGTTTTGCGGGATTGAAGATTTTAGCGGGTTTTCGGGTTAGGTAGGGTTTTGATTGGTTCTACAGAATCAAGTTGCGGGGCTAGGGTTTCACTTCCCCACAACAAACACGGCCAATTCTAAGGTTCCGGGTTTCGATAAATTGGAGTCAAGGGGTCAAAGACAAGGAACCTTGCAGAGGCCGAGGAGGCATCCTCTCTCCTCACATTTATGGGCTCTCCACAGCCCATCAGCCCGGAAAAAGACCCGCAGGCCCGAGCACCAAATTTCCCTGAAGCCCATGTGCCATCGCCCGGAAGACCCTAAGCCACGATCGGAGCATCATGGAGCATCTGAAGCAAGACAGTGCCTGACCAGAAGCCGAGACACAGCAAAACCCAGTACACCCTGACTGCGCTTTGGGCCAACATCCCTTTTGGGGGAAGCCCTTTGCATTCGGAACAAATCCATGATGGATGCTGCTTCAAAAACAGGAACCTTCTTTCAAACAGTCTCTGTACCGGATGTGTTCTTTTTTGTGCGGCTCTCTGCCGGGCGACTGTAATTTAGACCAAAAGGCAAAAGTTGCCCGCCTCATGTACTCCAGGACTTTTGCTTCCATCTCTTCCTGTGGACATGTGAGCCAGGATCGCAGGCCTCAAACTAAAGCTCAGCGCGGGGTGTTGAACCTCTGAATGCCAAGCTGGCAGCTCAAGCCGAATGGTGATGGTACCAGCTCCAGGACACCAACTACAGAAATTCCCGGAAATATCATCAACAAGCACATGTATTGCAGCAGTGTTCCCACGATCGTCACGATCCCAATGCATTTTTGTGCAACAGGATGCATCGCTACATCGGGGTCAAAGTCCACACAAGCTCAATGCTAAACCCGAATCTTTATCCTGCAAATCTGAATGCTCAAGCACTAAACTCTGAACCTGAATGCTCAAGTGCGATGAACCTTCTACCGCAAGCCATCAACCTCAAATCACAAAACCCAAGGCCGTAATCTTAGGCTTAGCACTGCATAGATGGTCCTTCGTCAACTTCTTCTCTTTTGCTTCCGCCTGGGGCTGTACAAGGCTTTGCAAAAAGGGCCGGACATGGTTTACGAGCAACGGCGCACGTAGAATTTCAAGCTTGGGGTCTTTGTCCGAAGTTGGGAAGACGTTCGCGTTGCAATCAAGTTCCTGGAACAACCAAGTGTCCATGTCTCTTGTCCTGTAGGGTTATCATCCATTGCTGTAGCGGCTTTGCAGTATGCATGTCGATGTCTACCTAGTGTGTCTGTGCAAAAGCTGAGGAACCCTCAGTGTGTTTTAATGGGCAACACCATGCTGAGGCTGAGAAAACCTGTCTTGTGTATTGCATTGCCGTTGGCTCCAAACAGTTGTCATCCAACAAGGTCCAAATCCGTGGCAGTCTGATGGCTTAACTTTACGTTTACTGCAAAGCACATTGTGTGTCGTAGCTGTTAGAATGTGCGACGATTTCGTGCTTTCCAGAACTTAGAAACGAGGCCACCTCCGCGTCGTCTATCAGCTTTTTGACACGTGAAGCTGTCCGTCTTTTTCTTCGTTTTCTTGCTGCTTTATTCTAGAGATGGTTGAAACAATTTTAGAAGTGAGGCCGATCGTGGGCCGCCAAGTTTTGCGAAGCAGTAAAATCCCGAGCAAATGTCGTACCGTAGCAACAACAGAATCGGATTGTCGTGCCGATGCTGGTACCATTCTGCAGCCAGCAGGTTAAGACCAGGCTTTAATGGTATTTTAGGGTGTCGTTAAAAGTAATCTTGACGCTTATACGCCTCGCATTGAGAACAGAATAACCAAGACCAACTACTACTGCCAAGAGGCATCAATACGACATTTATCCCCAAGCGCGAAAGCTTGAAATCCAAACTGCCTGCATTGCTGCTTCTTGAAGCTCCTATATGCACCCCCGTAGTACAACCGAAGAGTGCTCGAAACCCTACCTACTAATGAGCATTTAGCTGCTGGTAGAGGGACTGCAAAATAAGAAACTCCTGAACACATTAGACACTAGCTATGAGGGGATACCAGACTAAGAGGTACGTTCCCCACTAGATTGTATCCGGATAGATGGTATAAAGGTAAGCAAAACTGCCAGTAACAGCTGCTGGTTCAAAACCCCTTATCTTCCATTTCGAGCCTTGGGCGCGGCAGGCTTCTTCGCTGCGGGGGCGGCCAGCCGGGGCCTGTAAGCGCTGGGGAAAAGTTGGTTCTGTACGTTGTTTTGGTGCTTTTGGGAATCCAGGGGCTGGGATTTAGGGGCCAAGGTTTGTTGAGTTGGGGCTTCATGGGGCTTGGGGGCAAATTTTTTGGGATTTGGGCTTCTGGCTGGTTGCAACAGGCCTTGTGAAGTTCTGTGAGGTTGTGAAGGATTAAGATCCACTTACTACGGACACAACATGTCCTGTTCTAAATAGATTTCGACTGGTCAATTCGCATTCTGGCTGTTGTGCCTCTTCGCATTGATTCTCAAGTTCTATTCTGAAGCCCATGACGACTCTTCCTGGTTCTATGGCTTCTATGACCATTCTGTAAAGCATGGCTTCCCTTCTTCGTGACTGCGTTCACCACTCTGAATGTGTTGCCTGCCTTCCTGATGCTACAAAGCTTGCACATTGAGACCACGAAAACTTCTGAGGCCGCTGATGGTGACGATGACACGCTCAGATTCTAGTGTACACACTTGCTTTTTGCCACGCAAGCCCCGATACACTAATCCTGCGCAGGAAGTAAAGTAGTAAAGTCAAACCTCAAACTGTGGGACGCTGCTTCTCATTACGTGGCTCAGTTCAGCCAGGTAGCTGCTTCGCCGCAGCTTCTGCCGCAGCTGCGTCCTGCACACGATCACGAAGCCCCNNCCCCCCCCCCCCCCCCGAAACCTCAAACCTCCTCATTCCTGAACCTCAGCGGCCTGAACTCCAGCAGCGGAGTCCCAAACTCCTACATTCACAAACCTTGAAATCCTGAAGCCCTACTTGCCCAGGCTTTAACTGCCTCGGGAGCAGGACGCTTCTCGAGAATCTTGGACTCCTCCTGTCAGGGCTGTGGGTGTCAGATGTAGGCTGAAAGTGCAGGGTCTGGAACGTGCATGACCACACGTGGCCCATGAACTTACCTTGTTTGGTACATGGCCCGCATGCAAAGGCTGTAGCTGTCAGTTGCAGCCGCTGATGCCAAGCTTGACTGCTGGCATTTCGCATCCACGGTCAGCATCGTAATCAAAGAGTACCTAATTCCCAGCAGCGACGGAGCGAGATATCTGCTGCTTCACCCATGCGCAAGACTCAGTATACGTGAATATTAAATTATGGTGGCAACAGGATTCAAACGGCGGGCACGCTTTTGCTGTTTTGTCGATAGCCTGTGAGATGAGNNGAGATGCTCCATCTGCACCTTCAGCTCATCAGCCAGCTCCCTGGAGCCCTGCGAAGTGCGGAGGTCGAGTAAGAAGTCGAGCTGCCAGGCATAATTTTCCCTGGCGCCGTTCCGCTTTGGCAGAGACCATGGCGGGTGCAATTTGAGTGTGCGGGGCCCGTTGGCCACCAAGCCTTCCTGCAACAGTTTGGACATGGGAACCAGGAAGACGCCTTGCAATTCATCATGCTCATTCAAAACACAGGCGACCAACAAGTCAAAATCGTCCTCCGCGTACGAAGCATGCAGGCCTGACCCTCCTTGCTTGCCCAGGAATGCTTGATACCTGCCATTTGTCTTGGAGAGGTGCGACGCCTTCTCTTGCAAGCGCATCACGGAAGCCCCGGTGCCAACCTCCAGAAGGGAGTCGACCGTGGTCCCATGCTCGTCAGGACGGGACAGGCTCCAGTTCATGCAAGCAAACAAACTTCTGATCTGCCGATGCGCAGCTGTTTCAACCCAATGAGCAGGGGAGCAATCACGCTCTGCCTCTTCAACGGACATGTGGGAAAACTTCTGCGTGTTCTTGAAGCATGCAACCAAATGCGACCCGATGTCCTCAACACGGCGATTAGCGTCACTTCCACATCCAATGGTTATGCTTAGTTGATCAGTTGCGAGTTGCTCTCCGGGGACCGCCCACATGTAGTCTCCATCCAATGCCACGAAAACTACCAACATGCCTTCGTATCCGAGCAATCTGTGAAATTTGTAGGACCTTCCTTGGTTCCCCAGGCTTGTTGCTGCCTTGAGCTGAACCGGCAAACCTTTCGACGAGCCACGGAGCTTGAACAAAGCATCTGCTTTGGAGGACCCCGTCAAGCGCACGAGCTCGTAACTCTCTGAATAAGGTGATGCATGCAAGGCCACCTTCAACAGCTCGAAGGATCTGGCCTCCTTGCGATTGTTGGAGCCCCATGTTTTCATCGCGCGCTTCCGTGCCTCCTCCGGTGTTTCGTGGTAAGCAGCTTCCTCCTCGGAAGGGAAGTTGAGACATTTCTGGCGCTGATACTTGTGATCTGGAGTGTCGTTTGGATACATGCATCTCACCTCTTGATCGTAGGCCTTCGCGGCCTGCTTGGCGCTCTTGAATCGACCGATGTAGCCTGGTCCGCCGCGAACCGCTAGAAATGCTGTGAAAACACGATCTCGCTTGAAGTAGCTCACGCCGCGATACTTCGCGGCCTCGGCCAATGCCACAGCCACGTGGTGGGGAACATGTGCAGCGGCCTTTAGAAGCCCGGCCAGCGCCGGACAAAGCACCACCCAGGTCACAGCAAGCAAAGACATTCTTAAGAAAGAGGTGGTACTACGGCAGGCTGGCTTCCGCATCTGCCGTGAGCATGCAGCAAGTCGGCCCGCCCTTTGTCACCTAACGATTTCCGCAACTTGAGCTCATGGCCGATGCGGATTTCATTCGCGGAAACGGGACGGTCTGACGGAGAGCGGACACGGAGGAATCACGTGCAGAAACCTCCCAAAAATAGGGGCCTGCAAAGAACTCAGTTGGTGTCAAGGCTGAAAGGGGTCTGAGGCACTTAGCTTGTCTGATCGACCAGTGACTATAGTGATTCTTGGGGCTGTTCAGATTCCCAGGATCCCCAGGTTCGGCCTGTGCTTGCTTGGGCGCAGCTGCCTCCTGAATAGAACACCAAGGAGCTGTGAACTTCTGGTTGATTTATATGAACAGCCGCAAGTCTATCGCTGAACGGCTGTTGCTCCAGGCGGAAGGGTTGTAAGCCTAAACCTTTCTGCTTTCTGCCTCCAGTTAGTTGCAAGTTCTGCACACAACCTATGCTCCACATTGGATTGACAGCGGGTTGAGAGTCGAGACTTTGGTGCTGGAGCTTTTGCTTAGGCAAGCAGGTAAGTATATGGTTGCGTGAGTGTGCAGGATTCCAAGTTGAGGACTGCTTGGCTGCACAAAGCAATCGTCAAGGTAAGCTTCAGCCGTTCCAACTGATAGTTGGCCTAGTTGGCCCCAAGCAAAACTTCAGACAGTCCTCAGTACTAGCTTCCCAAACCCCAACCTTCAACCCCTGAAACCTGCGCAGTCCTCCGCACCCCAAACTTGACACCCGAAAGCCAGAGTTCAATTCTTTTCTGTGATCTTTGAGGAAGCCCGGCAAAAGAAACTCGAAACAAAAGCCCGGAGGCGAAGGCGCGCCTTCGCCGCCGCAGGTTTGGGCGAAGGCTTCGGGAGCGGAGGCGTCGCTGCCTCAAGGACAAACACACTACAAGACCTGCTGCCTCACTCAGGATTTTGTGACAGGAAGTTTTTTCGAGAAGACTCAAGATACACTGTGGTCCCTATACAGGTCTAGGACCCCAGGGTCGGGAAGCAGAAATTTTGGGTTTGGGCTTTAGGACCTCGGCAGTTAAGTTCAGGCACGAAGCCTGAAGCAAAGTGAAGTTATTGCGCTTTCGGAGGTTTTGCCTCAAGGGGGTGTTACATCGTTGTAAAGATCGCAAATGGCAGGCTCAAGGTTTGGCCTGCCCGCTACGAGTAGCGAGTGACTATTCCTTCCTTGCCAAGTCTGGGGGTCCACTTGGGGCTGTCATTGTCTTAGAAATGAGCATTGCTGAGACTGCCCTCTGTTTTGGGGAAGGTTAGATGCCAAAGCGTCGAGATTCCCCGTTCGGATTGATGGGGTCTCAATCAGAAGTCGAGGTTCTGTTTCACGATTCCAAAACATGGGATGACTCTCAAGGCGGCAACAAGACGGGAACACACGGGCACGTTTCACCTCCGTTTTGTCGATAGCCTGTGAGATGAGATGCTCCATCTGCACCTTCAGCTTATCAGGCAGCTCCGTGGAGCCCTGCCAAGGGCGGAGATCAAGGAAAAAGTCGAGCTGCCAAGTGTACTTCTCCCTGGTGCTGTGCCGCTTTGGTAGAGACCATGGCGGGTGCAGAGGAAGCTCTCGAGGCCTCTTGGCGGCGAAGCCTTTCTGCACCAATTCGAAAATGGGAATCAGGAAGACGCCTTGCAGCTGCTCGTCCTGCAAAACGCAAGCGACCAGTACATCGAAGTCGTCCGCAGCATATGCAAGTCGTCCGAGCGAGCCTCCGCGCTTCCGTAGGCATACTTCATACCTGCCACCCCGCTGCAAGCGCGATGCCTTCTCTTGCAAGCGCACCACCGGGCCCCCAGCACCGACCTCAAGCAAGGAGTCAACTGTCGTCTGATGCAACCCAGGAGAACTCAAGCTCCAGTTCATGCAGGTAAACAAACTGCGGAGCTGCCAGTGCGCCGCTGCCTCAACCCTGTTACTGCGGGAGCACTGGCGCTCTGCCTCTTCCACTGACAGGTGGAGAAACTTCTGCGTATCTTTGAAGCAAGCAATCAGATGGGACCCTATGTTTGCGGCCCGTCGGTCAGAGTCGCGTTCACATCCGATGGTTATGCCTATTGAATCACTCTTGAATTCCTCGCCGGCGGCCGCCCAGAAGTGGCCCCCATCCAATGCGACAAGAACGACCAACATGCCGTCGTATCCCAGCAGTCTGTAAAACTTGTAAACCCTTCCTTGCTTCCACCGACTTGTTGCTGCCTTGAGCTGAACCGGCAAACCAGATTTCGATGAGCCACGAAGCTTGAACAGTGCATCTGCTTTGGAAGACCCTGTCAAGCGCACCAGCTCGTACTTCTCTGAATGAGGAGATGCGTTCAAGGCCTGGTTCAACAGCTCGAAGGATCTGGCCTCCTTGCGATTGACGGAGCCCCATATTTTCATCGCGCGCTTCCGTGCCTCCTCTGGTGTTTCGTGGTATGCAGCTTCCTCATCCGAAGGGAAGTTGAGACATTTCTTGCGCTGGTACTGGTGATCTGGAGTGCCGTTTGGATACATGCATCTCACCTCTTGATCGTAAGCCTTCGCGGCCTGCTTGGCGCTGTTGAATCGACCGATGTAGCCTGGTCCGCCGCGACTTTGTAGATATGCTGTGAAAACATGATCCCGCCCGCGATAAGTCACGCCGCGATACTTTGCAGCCTCGGCCCGGGCTGCAGCCTCTTGGTGGGGCACATGTGCAGGGTCCTTCAGAAGCCTGGCAAGCACTGGGCAGAGCCACGCCCATGCTAACGCCAGCACAAGTCCTCTTGACAAAGAGGTGGTGCGGCATGCTGGCTGCCACATCAGCTGTCAGGAAGTCAGATGTGAATCAGCCCGCAAAACCCACACATTGACTAGGCTGCTGCAGCGGGTTTCGTTGGCTGAACTGGTTGGATCAAAACACAAAACTAGAGCCGAGAAGCACGGCTAAGAAGACGGTGGCGGTCAAGCTGGCCACCGGTCACTGCAACTTGTAGGCTGGACGTTAACAATCGCATTCCCAAGTCCGAACGAGACCTAGACTTGCAAACCTACGCCTACACCCTGCGATGTTTACAGAGAGGCCCTGCGAAGGGACATTCCCAAAGAAGTAGCTACGAGTAAGTAGCAAGAACGCTCCGACGAGGCCGTAAACCATGAACCCACAGCCCCAAATGCCCACAACCCGAAACCCCGAAGACGAAGCGCGCCTTCACCGCTGCTTTTGGGGAAGGCTTCGCGGCAGGAGGCACGGCGGCCTCCGGAACAACAAGCACCGCTGATAGCCAGAAGTATCTTACAAGCCTGAACACAGTTGTATTTTTTGCTAAAGCCCTGTATGTAAGGGTTCTCTGCACCGCAAAAAAACCGTTTGCCGTATGTCATCTTTATTCGGGCTTGGGATACACTATAACTTATACTAGACATGACGAATGAAGCAGATGGCAGACTTGGGGGTTTCAGGCTTTGGGGCTTGTCGGGGCTCAAGTGGCCTGGGTCTTCGCAAGGTCCAGCATGTCTCAGGCTTAGAGATTGGGGTGCCTCAGGTGGCTGTAATTTCAAGGGCATGTCGGCCCTTTCTGTAGCCGTTTGAAAACCTCAAGGGCATCATGCCAGCATAGATCCCTAAATGCTGAAAGACCATACAAGGAGAACATGAATAAGACCTGGAAGACATGACCATAACATCACGCAGCATTTGATGCATCACTGAATGCTAGTTGGTTGGATGGTAAGCCGTGGTTATAACTCAAGCGGTGCTGCGATCATAACTTATATGACAGCTGACAACTGCTACCCGAGGCGTAGCTGTCAGCCCAAAACTCCAATCACTGGAACCTCATTTCCTAACGGTGAATCTAAAGGTCTCCAATAGTTAGTGATGCTAAGCCTTCTGTGTTCCCTCAACGCCAACTATCCAACACCCTCAGGATCGGCCTTCGGTGCAGCTTTGGCCACAGCCTTCGCTGCCGACTTCGGAGTTGCGGGCGAAGGCACCGGAGCCTGCAGATCATGCATATCATAGTTAATACTTAAGTCCCCATGAATTACAGTCTTGGGTTTAGGGTTTGGAGGTGTTCGTTCCATACTGGATTTGGCAGTCGAGGATTCGAGGGTATAGTGTAGGGCTCCTGAGGTACGCTGGGCTTTGCAGTTGTTGGGCTTCGGGCCTTCCGCATGGAAACTCATTTGGGCGCTGCGTGATTTGGCTCTCGCCTCGATATTTACGGTTTTGGACTCAGGGTCCCACGGGCTTAGGAGGGTCTCAGGGATGAATCGGAGGCCGGGCAGACTGGGTGAACTCTCTCGGCAAGCATCCCGAACCTTACATCGAACCCGTCCGCTTTCAAACCCGAGAACCTGTCGGAAACTCTCCCAAAGTCCAAACGTCAAAGAGACATCCCAGACCCTTGACCCTTTCACCAAAATCGAACCTCAACACTAGACCCTTGATCTGCGAGTTTCATTATCCTTTGATCGCTGAACTCCACGACTGAAGCCCTGATTCTTTGGGTCCTTCTGGCGCCTTCGCCACCGGCGTGGGAGCTGGCGCCTTGGGAGCCAGCGAAGCGAGGCAGCCTTCCTCCTCCTGTCAGACCGGTTTTTGGGGCTTAGCCTTTGCGGATTTTAGGGTTCGGGGTTTAAGGCTCGGGCCTAGGGCTTTGAGGTGTTTGAAGGCTTTTTGGTTTGGGTTTTTTGGCTGGGGCAAGGCGCTTGCAAAACCAACCTATCAGGACCTGGGTTTCGAGTTCACTCGCCCAAGTCTTGCTCAAGCCAGCCCCCCAACCCAAACCCCACCCAAGCCTTAAATCTCAAAACCTCCAAACCCTCAATGTCAGGCTCACCCATTTCCCTCTAAAAAAAATCGAACTCCTAAAATCGCGATTTCGGGGGCCAGGTTCGGGTTTCCAACCTCGTCGTCGTCAGCAACAGGGAGCTTGGACGGAGCCGCCCCTCCTGCGAACGGGGCTTGTAGGGCTTAGGGTTTAAGCTGTCAGGGATTGGGGACAAGTTGTTTTTTGGTTGTGCCGGTGGTTTCAGGGCGCAGGGTTTAGGATTTTGAGCTGTATATAGGGTGGAACACCTTCGGGGTTTACGATTCAACGCTTGAGGGTTTCAGACTAGGGGTCTAGAGTTTAGGCCTTGCGGCTTTGAGCTGATTATCCTTGGCGTACTTCTGAACCCCTCCTAAAAGTTAAACTTTTAGCCCAGATATTATAGTTCATATAGAAACCCAAAAAGTTAAAGTCTAAAGAGCCAACCAGAAGAACGCTAAGTATCATTTGGTGTTTATGCAGGCCTGGGACTCGGTTTGACAGTAATCAAGTTCAAGGGCAAGGTGGTTGAAGCTCCCACAGCATGAGCTGGGTGTCGTGAGTGCCCAGAAGACCCACCGCCACAAAAAACGTACACAGGTAAGACAGGGTCATGCAGTCGGAGGAAAGCCTCAAGAAGTCGGGTAAAGTTCTTGTATAGCTTTCAGAGCATGGCTCTACTGGTTAATTCTTATGGCCGCTATCTACTACTGTCGCTCCGTGGCTGCCGAGTTGAGGATCCGGGGGAACCTTGACCTACCATGTGTGTAGGTTCCAGATTAGAAAACTTAGCATCCGAGAAACACGTAGTAGTTTCAGGTCTCCCTCTGAAAGGCGACCGGAAGTGGGATTTGGGAGTAAACCCGGGGCGTCCTTGCACTGCAGGGGCCGGTGATGCTGGTGGGGGCTTGGCCGCTGCCGGCGCCAACATCTCCTGCTTGAGGGTTGGCGAGTAAGAGCCTTGGAATTTAGGCTTGGAGGTCTGACGCCTTACAAGACTTCCCGCCACTCCAACGGCCTGAGCCTGTACTTCAACACAGTCTCGTCTTACCAGCGCACCTCATCGGAGGACTCGCCCACATCCATGCTGGCAACGACCTCGGCCATGTCAATGCAACGACAGGTGCCAATCGGCGGAGCGGAGCCCTTTCCGGGGTCCAGAACTTGAAGCTTTGGGTGCCGGGTTACAACCACGGGCACATCGTCATAGCCATTGCCTACATTATCGGTATTCCTTTGAGATTTCATGTTCATATCTTGGGGAACTTCGTCGCATTCATTCCGTTGGTTAATATCTCGGCAGGGCTACGGGCTTGCGGCAACGAGGCCGAGCATTGACTTGCATCACAAACACGGATCCCACAACAACAACGATGACTACCCCAACTGCCCGAAACACGTATGCGAGCATTTATGGGCCAAGATTATGTTGGCTTAGGCTTTACTGTCACAAATATGCGGTTTCTGGAAGAGGATAGGTCTTCAAGCGTCTTGTTTTGGAGGAAACTTCACAAAGTTCTGGGTAGGACGACCACCAACTACTACTACGTGTACTCACCAAGCTTAGAGTCTGAGCAGGGGCAATGGCTTCGAGGTTCTAAGCTTCCGACAACGCTGCGAAGTGGAGGCGCCTGGGAGGATAGCAGCAGCCCGGACTCGGGGATTCGAGCTTGCATTGTGGGGTTTGATCATGACTTCCTACTGCGCGCATGAAATTTGAAGTGTGGGTTAAGGATTCTTCATTTTGATCACAGGTTTTGTCAGATGTTTCGCTTTCCACCTGGGGTCAGCAAGCCAGTACTGGGAAACAGGACTCCGCATGCTCCAATCCTTCCATGCAGCGGTCTGAAACGGCCATTCCTGCTTCTGTTGATTTGTGTCTCATCACACTTCTACAAAGCGATTCCTGTGATGTATATTACTTCCGCAGCCGCTCGCGCAGCTCTTCAACTTTCAACAGCTAAAGCTTGCTGCATGGAACAGTTAGAAAACGAGGGCCACTCGACATCATCAACCGCAGCAGTTTAATATACACCTGGGCCCTCAAATCTATTTCAACAAACGTAAGTCGAAACCCCAGACCCCTCCCGAGAAGCTCGAAACGAAGTCCTCGACAACGGGACTGGGAAAAATTATGTGAGGTCTTGGGGTTGGGGGTGTCTTGAGAGTCCGCTCACGATCTCAGGACCTGCCACAAGCCCAGCAGCAGTCGCCTCCTCTGCCGGTGCACTGGGCGGCGCAGCTGGAGCCTCATCGCTGGCGAGACTGCATCATCGGCATCGGCATCCTCATCATCACCACCATCAAGGTCACACTCCTCATCACCATCGTCACCTCGTTTGCAGCGTCGTCATCGTCGTCAACTCCACCCTCATCATCTTCTTCATCATCATCGTCATCATCACCATCATCATCACTTGGATCATCATGATCGTGGTGATGCCTTTCAGTGTCGCGGCTTACAGCGCAGCGTACCTGGCACAGTCGCGAAGCACATCTTGCATCACAGCAAAAGGACTTTGGGGCCCTAAGCATGGTCCCACAGCGCATAGCTTTGAAGGGGTTCAAAGCTCAAGGTTTCTATAGGGCTAACAGTGCACGGCAAAGGTACAGATTTCACTTTCTGTACCCAGGTTTGTGTCGGTATGGATACCAGGAACCTGCACTAGGAGCTGGCGGACCGGGGCTGCTTTATAAGTTTCCAGAACTTTCGCTCTTGCTAGCAGGAGGTATTTCTGCGCCTGGCGTTAATCTTACAACGATTATTGCAACTATGGTTACCAGTCGAGAATTTGTCTCCCCTGAAGCATTGTCCTTCTAGCTCTTATCATGAGCCCCCCACCCCATATCTATCCATGGTAAGTAGATGCTTCTATAGGACCATAACAACGGCAGTTTAATAATGCAACAAAAGGAGTGTATTCAAAGTGCCACCTAGGGAATTACCCTAAATCCCAAACACTGAACCATTTGACCAAAAGAAAAGCTCTGAACCGTAAACCTAAACTCAAACCCTAAACCCTGAACCCAAAATTGTATTGAAAACCCATGCCAGAAAGCCGCTCCAGCGGCTGGTGGTTCCGCGGCCGCGGCGGGTGCGGAGTCAGGAGGCTTGGCCGCCGGTGCCAGCATTTCCTGACTTATACGTTCTCATCAAGATTACTGTTATCATCTCATTATTGCCGTGCTTTGTAATGTTCTTTAGTTTTATTGCTGTCAAGGTTATCATCACCGATATTTATCCATGAATATCAACGCTGCAGTATGCTCAGCAAAATGTTGATGACCACTGTTCGGGCCATGCTTCTCATTCGTACTGGTGTTATGTGTATTGCTATTGTTGATGTTACCTCTTATTGTAAGATGTATTATCGAGTTCGTGTTGTGTTGGTTTGGGAGCGGGAAAGAATCTGTATCCTGCTGCGTATTTCATTCGACGAAGCTTGATCAGAAGGATACTGCAAGGACTCAAGTCTAGTACGCCCTTCAAGTAATGCGGCTGCTACAAACGTCACTAGCCGCCTTGTTGCTTTCTTTACCCATGCTTTTGCGACTACATGACAGTCGCAGACCTACAGCCTTGCAAAATCCCGAACCCTAAACTCACTAAGCGCTAAACTCTCCGATCCTGAACACTGCAGCTTACCCAAACTCCCTATAAACCTCATGTAACCCCCTGTAAATCGTACAAACACTATTCTAGACCCTGTCACCTTTTGTAGAAATCCCATCTTACAGACTGCAACAGCACGCCGCCTCGTCGGAAGAATCCCCGAGGTCCATGCTTGCGACAACCTTCGTTGCGAGGCTAGCGACGCATCAAATATGAGAGACCCGTCCAAGCACTTCAGGCTTTAGGGCTTTGTCAAGGACCCTAAACCCTAAACCCTAAACCCTAAACCCTAAACCGTGGCTCTGCAAGGGCCCAGGGCATAGGACTTGGGAACTTTAGGCTTCCGGGCTTAAGGCTTCAGGATTCAAGGCTTCGGGCTGCTGGGGTATTCAGGGTACCTTTCACCAGGGGTGGAACTTCGAACTTTGACTTCAGACCTTCCGCACTAGCAATATGTGGGGGGTGACTTCTTGCTGTTGTACTGCTTTTGCTCATCATCGTGGCTGCTCTGATGCGTATGCGGGCTGGCAGTCTGCCTTTCTTGGACAGCGAACTCGCGCATGTGCTGTATCCTGGCCCTGGCGAGACTTTGTTCAGTACCGTCGCTCCTGAGCCTATAGCAGTATCCTTCATGAAGAGAGTCTTGGGTTGCTGGGGCAATGAATCCACACAGTCTGCTTTTGAAGGAGGGCTTTGGGTCAGGGTTTAAGACATGGCGCTCAAGGTGGAGGGTGCAGGGGTTCAGCCTCGCTGGGTGCAATGGGCTTCTGGGGTATGTGATGCCGTGATGGGGACTTCAAGGGGAATTTACTACTTATTGTTGCGACCCTAATTTAGACTCTGGGATTAGGGTCCGAGTTCTAAGCACCCGGCAACGCTGCGCAGCTGCGGTGGTGCCTGCAGAGCACGTCCTAGAAGTCTTCAGGGAACTCAAGATCGAGGATTCTGCGCGTGGCTGTAGGCCGTCGGATTTAGGGCCTTAGGTTTTAGGATGCTTTAGATATTTCGGGTGAAAGATAGCTTTCTGCTGTGGAAGTTTGGAGTCACAAGTATTTTCACAGAATTTCAGACTCATGGTTCTAGCGGATGCTCTTTTTCACATGTTCGTACAATCCAACAGATCCGGGTTTAGGGCAGCGTTTAAGCCGGGTTCTCAGTCAAGGCTTCAGGGCTTAAAGTTTAAGGCCTGGGATTCAGGATTCGGGACTTTGGAAGAGGATGTATCACCGCAAGCAGAAGCTTCGCAGGAGTTTTTGCCTCCTCCTGCTCCTCCTGCACGGCTGCCGGAGCCTGCTCAAAAGGCAAGCTTCTGAAAGGCCCTACCGGGTTTTAGGATCTCGAGTTTAGGGACATGGCGTTTCTAGCTTAAGCTGTTTGACCTTCAGGAGTTGTCTTTATGCGCCCAACATCGAGACTCCATGAAAGGGCGAATGAACGCCTAGTGCAGCATACTGGTCCTAAACCCCCACCCCCGTTGCACAGGCCGGATCATGAGGTTGCAGATTGGGATCGGGACAGTCCGGAGGACAATGGTCCATTCTTCTGTTGAGCCGGTCTCTGATTTCGCGCGGAGACCACTTGGGGCTTGGTGGATTGTTTATGGATTGCGGTCCAGATCCTGGGATTGCACCACCAAATATTTTTTTTATACGAGCTAGCAGCGAGCGCTCATCCTGTTGTAGTGTCTTGGTTTGTTGCCGCCAGGTGTGGAAACATCTATTTCCGCTGTCTGCTATGCAAATCAGCTCGGATCCAAAGGACTCAAAAGGCACAGCTCAGTGTCTCAACACCTCCGAAGCCTAAAATCACCGAAAGTCAACGAAAGACCAACCGAAGCCCCGCGCCATTAATTGAGATCAAGAAACCCTGAAGTTCCTGTACTTACCATATATCCCCCCTAATCCTTGCCCAAGGTCTTACACCCGGAACTGCGACGCTTCCTCCAGAAAGAGGACTTGACTAGCTGCTAAGGCTCCGGCTTCGGCCGCTGCCGCAGGAGCTCCGATCATTTCGTCCTGGAGCTCAACTGCGTACCCCCTTGAGGTTTCGGGTGCCAGGGCCCTCGTGTCTACTTCAGATCATTTTGCGGCTGAGGGTGCAGGGATTGAGGTCAAGCACAATCCAGTTTCGGGTTGAAGTCAACTGGGCTTCGGTGCCGGGGATTAGATTGGGGCTGAACAGTTGGGTGCTTGTCGGCTTTTGCATCTTGCAAGATGTCATGGGACGGTTTGGGTTGTGGCTTAGGAGGGTCAAAGCCCAGCCTCGTCATCGGAGAGCACATCGACAGTTGCCATGGCTGATGGGTGGCACAGTGGGTGTTGTGGATGCTAGGATACGCTCTGGGCCATAAACCCTGAACCCGACACTGCTCGGCTGCAGTGTGTGGAGTGGGCGATGGCAGGAGTCGCTTCGGAGCGACATGATTAGAGGTAGAAGTTCGAGATGTCAGGGTTTCGGATGTAGAGCTGTTGGAAAACCAGATGGCGGCGGGCTTCTGGAACTTTCCTGATGACAGAACCTGCTTCCTTCCTCATGAGCCAGGGCCTGCATTCAGAGCCGTCGGCATAGCTCTTAAGCTCTTCGGCGATTCGGGCTCGGACTTTAGCTACAGGGGCTCAAGCGCTGCACCCTCAACCCCTAAACTGTAAACCCTGGTTTGGGACTGCTCTGTCGTTGGGTTGAGCTTCCTTGGATCAAGCTCGGTCTCCCGGCTCGTCTGAGTTTTCGGACCTCTATATGTTTCTTGCGATCAGTCCAAAGCGACGATCTGCTCGGAGTTATCACAGCCCCGAAGCTCCAAACTCTTGTGCCAAATCTAAGTATCGTGGTACATGCTGGGAGGGTACACAAAGCATGACCCACTTCGCAGACGTGAAGCTGGATTTCGGAACGACCGCTGTGTCATGGCATTGTGATATCGGCGTTCGGCACCACCCACAGGACACACTAAAAGGGCTCGCAACCGCATTGGGGTCAAGTACAATACCCACAAAAACATAATTTGTACATGAGCTGATGGCAACCGGTTAGTAAGCCAAAAATGGGAAAAATGCAAGCGCCGGACAATGCCTCTGCAATACTCGAGAACCCTACCAAGGAGCTAACATCTTCCTGCCCTGGAGCCCAACGCTAAAACCCCAAGAGACCAGAGCCTGTGCTGCCCTGGGCATGCGACGTCTTCGTGGCATCCCACTGCTTCCCCACATGCTGGCCCACGAGCAGGTCCTGTGGCAGAAATTTCAGGGTGGGATTTGGGGGTCCCTTAAAGTTCCTTTCTGGGAATCCTTCGAGTAGGCGAGTAGAGATGCTACTGCTTATGACTGGATGTGCCACGAGGGGGAACTGTTCAGGCGCTGTTGAATCTTTGCATGTAAAGCCCAATGAAAACAAAGACTGTTCACGGCGATTCTTGTCTGGGCCTTGTCATTTGGACCGGGGAATGCGGACGTTGCACGAATTGCATCCCTTCAGCGGGACACCGACCTCCCAAGCCCGAATCCCTTATAAAGCCTCCCAGCCTTCAACCCTCTTCACCCCAAACTCCCAAACCCTAAATCCTGATCCCCCGAGCCTCAAGCTCCCTGAACTCCAAGACCATGCAGCCCAGACTTTTCTCATGCAGTACCGACCACGATCAGACCAAGGGCTTCTGAAGCACGATTGGGCTATAAGCCTTACCAAACCCTAAGCAGCTCTAGACCCGAAGACACACATGTTTACTAACTACTCACGCAATAACTCTTCATCTCAACTATTGTCTCTGGTCGCCTGCCGCGCGGCATTGATGACCGTCAGCGCCTCTCTGGCTGGTTTGAAGTGCTGTGTAAAATTGGGTAAGAAAAATTGGAGATGCCGGCTGAAGATTGTCGTAACTCGGGGGTTTTATCTGGCTGCTTTTCCATGTTGGCAAAAAACCGAATTCACAACTCAAGTCCCGATTGTCCATTGCTCCGGGTATAAGGAGAAGACCAACAGGGAACGGCCTACCGCAGACTTTACGTACGAATCAAGAAACCGTCGAAACCCATCCATGGTTTGCCTCTTCCTCCTCGACGCTTCCCGGCAGGAGCACCACCGCCATGGCTCTCTCGAAGTCCAGTTTCGGATGGTTTGAGGGTTTGGGAGTCTTAGCGCGTTCGTGCTGTATTGGGGTTGCCGGGGTTTCAGAGTTCGAGGCTTTGGGCTCAGAGCTCGAAAGTTAGGGGCTCGAGAGCCCTCTCACGATTACTGCTCTTAGGTGGTCGGCTGGCACACTAGACATGGCCCTAAACCATGCACTTGTTCCGTTGCGGTCTGGGGTGAGGGTATCTGGGGCTTGGGGTAAAACAGTTCGAGATCATGCAACCCATGCTTGGCTCTGAGGGCATTCTCTGCTAGACGGCTGCATCATAAGGGGGATGGAGAGCGTGGATCTTACGAAGAAACGAGCTAAAACCGAAGCAAAACGAAACTCCGCACCGTTCAGTCTTCAGCATTCGGGCTCTAGTGCTTCTGGCTTGGGGGCTTCGTGGGTCTCGGGTAGATCGAAAACGACCTGGGAGATAAAGGGAATACTGGATACCCCAAGTACAAAGATCTTGACTGCTTGGAACGTAAAGGCATCAGAGTAGACCCATATCGCATAGGAATGGTTACTGCGACCCGCATGTAGCAAACAAAAACCTGCATCCCAACTCCAAAAGCCATCATTGTTGTTTCTGGGGCAGATTTTTGGGTGGGTAAGATTGGCACTTGGGAGCTTTAGGATTAAAGTTTGCGGATTTCGGGAGTCTCGGAAATCACTCCCGTCGTTTTCGCCATCACACGCTCATTGAAACAGCGGTGTGCCGGCTTCGCCGAGATCGGCATACCTCGGATTCGCGCAACAAAGCGGCAGACAGTCAAGCACGGGTTTGGGGCGGCCGGGATATCTTGCACCAGTAATTAAATGCTGCTGTCCAGGATTAGGTTTAGAGCCTAGAGTGCATAATGATAGCAAGGCTCTATTGGTCGCAAGCAAAGACTGGTAGTTGGGAGCTCGTGTGGTCTGCAGGCATCCAGAAGTCCCAGCACACCACGCTCTCAACAGACATGAAGCCTCATGTCACTGCTTAGGGCTTGGGGACGGATCTATTCTGGGCCCTCCGTTCTCCGCTTCCTGCTGGACTTCTGTCCAGTAGGACTCAGGCCTCGTATCAGACCTCAAATCTGAATTAGTGAGCTCCTTCCGCGGCCGACCCGTCGTCAGACCCTGAAGAGCCTGGATACTTCGCATGGCTCATCCCTGCAATCTCCAAATCCCACGACATGCGAAAACCCTGATGAATCCCGCGCTGAGCTTCCGACGCACTCCTGGGGACCCCGTCGCCGAGGCGCCGGGTGCGGCTGCCGCCTGCAATAGCAAGCGACAGCGGTGTCCGACGTGTTTCGAATGCTGCGGTTTCTGGCCTCGTGTGGAGTTTCGGAGCTCACCTATAGTCTCCATTGTAGTTCCTTTTTTTGGTTTAACTAATGCTATATTACGGATCCTATAAGGTAACCACAAAAGGAATTACAATGGAGACTACAGGAAGTTTTTCAGTTTTGAGTTGCAGGCTTCAGGAGTTCAAGGCTTTGGCTTCGGGCTTGGGAATTCTGGGGGTGCAGAGTGTAGAGTTTAGGATGTAGGCCTCGGGGAGTTGATACGCCCAGGGTTTACCATTCATGGGCTTAAGGCTTAACGTAGCTACGTTACAGCTCGTATGTAAGGCGCAAATCTTCAAACGGTGTTTATGTTGAACAAACCCGATGTTCGGAGGGGTGTGGGATTCCATGGCTGAGGGCCGGGTCTTTTCAGCTTCTGTCCGGGTGCAGGAGCCTGAGCTTGTCGACGTTCCCTCAGACCATAAGGAAAAAATAAATATTCAGGCCGCTATATTCGGTGCTAATGGGTGCTTGTGCGGGGTTGGGTTTTGGAAAGTGAGTCTTGGAGCCTGCTGGCCCTTGTGCAACCGAAGCTCCATGTCCAAAATCCCTCCTTCGCCGCAAAGCCAAATTTAACAACCCGATTCAGCCCTCTGACAACCTCCTGAAACGCTACAGTCCCTGAAACCTGAAGCCCTCAAACCCTAAAGAAGGCCCCAAGGAGTCCTGTAATACACTTATAGCACCCTTATAAACCATAACCGGACCCATGAAGAAGTCCGAAACCCTAAACCCTAAACCCTAAACCCTAAGCCCGAAACCCTATAAACCCTAAACCCTAAGCCTAAACCCTAAACCCTAAACCCTAAACCCTAAACCCTAAACCCTAAACCCTAAACCCTAAACCCTCAACGAAGGCCTGCGGCCATGGACCGCATGGACTCGGCCCACTGCGACCAGCCACGCGAGGCCCTGCCGGGGGGGGTCCGAAGTCCAGGTTGCTCCATTTAGGGTTTAGGCTTTAGGGTTTAGGGTTTAGGGTTTAGGGGTTTAGGGGTTTAGGGTTTAGGGTTTAGGGTTTAGGGTTTAGGGTTTAGTTCCTTTTTAGGGTTACCTTCTAGGGC